GCTTGTTGTCAAATGCCTATGGATATTCAAAAGATCCAAACCTTTAAATCTACTTTCAAAAGTTGTACTTCTTGGTATGTTTTTCAGAGACCTGGGGCTCTGTTATTCTTCTTAAAAAAGAGAATGTTCTCTCATTAGTTTACTATTGGGAAGAGTTGCTAATATATATAAACCCTTTTAATACATTGGGAATATAATCTAAAATGTGTTTGAAATAATGCAGAGCATCCATAGCATTTTTTGGGACTGTATCAACCATAGTTAATCTTATAAACATAGTTATTCAGCTAATAAGGCATCATAAGATACTTTAACATCTTCATGATAAAAATCTAACAAATATTTTTTTTCTATCACCATCTGAAAAAGGTTGGGAAGGCTTTTATGGAAATAATATTTGCAGATTGGTAAGTGCTGCATAATGAATTAAAAACGAATTCATTTATTTGGTTTATAAATGTATTTGTATCTAAGATATACTCTTTTACTGATCCTATATTAATGTTTTAACTATGAGCTTGCCTGGCTGCAAGTCGAGTGAGACAAATATTAAACATGTATAGCTCTGCTTTTATCTTAACAATAACATATAAAACATGAAATTCTTCATAAACATTAGCCCTAATTTCCTTGAATTCTAATAAAATGCTCTCCGCTATTCTCATCTTCTTAATCAAGTCATCATGTTTTTGAAAAGTAATACATAAAATAGTTGTACATTCTAATGGAATAAGCATTGAATCCAATAATTTTCTTGCTTCTAAGGAAAAATTTCTTTCAGGCCATTGTGATATGTCAGTAAAAGCAAATAATGGGCTCTTCTAACTCCATAAAAGCTGTTACTGCATGGCGGAGACTCTATCTCGTAGGACAAGGTTGCAATTTCATTCTCCCTGTTGGACAATTTCAGAATAATTATTATTTGACTAGAAATTTAAAAATGGTAGATAAATATTACGCCACTAAAAATTTGAAAATAATAAGATAATATTACGCCGGAGAACTTTAAATCGAAATTAATTGATAAACTTAGTGATGAATGTGATAATAAATGTAATTAAATATATATTTGATATGAGATAGGAATAAATATTAACAAATATATATTTGATATGAGATAGGAATAAATATTAACAAATATATATTTGATATGAGATAGGAATAAATATTAACAAATATAAATTAATATGTACTGTGTAAATTTAATTCAAAACATTTCCATATTTATTAATTTATTTGAAAATAAAATTATTTGACTTGTAAAAAGTTGTTAAAATAACATATTTATATATTCTTATCAATTTTCACAAGTTAAAATTTTTATTTACAAACGAATTAAAAAATATGGAAATGTTTAAATTAAATCTGCACAACACTCTAAACAAAGATATTTTTGAAAAATATATCCGGCATCTGCATTTTTTCGCTTTTGGGGGGAGGGGATTTGTTCCCCTGCCCCCCCCCCTGCTGCGCACGCCAATGCCTTAGCATTTTAAATTGGGCTAATATATCAGGACACACAAATGGGAAATAACAGCAGCTAAAATAATAAAACCACCATTATTTTTTTAGTAAAAAAAATATTTTAATTTGGCTCAAAAGTTTTATTTAGGACATTATGGTATTCATTTTAGAAAATAAATGATTCTCTTTTCGATTCACTGAAGGTAAATTTTTTTTTAAACAGTATGCAGATTAGAGGTATACAAATAGTAAAATTTTCAGACCCGGCCCAATCAAATTTGTACCAGGCCCGTTTTCAATTTTTTAGTAAGGTAGCCTGGCCGGTTTTTTAAAATACAAGGTCTAACCCGAAATATATGTAGTTGAACATTAAATAAACAACTATTTATGATAAATAAACAACTATTTATGATATGGGGGGGGGGGGGTTAAATTAACAACCCCACACTTTATGAAATATAACTTCTATCAAATATCACAATTCATTAATAATCCATACCAATAATTTTTTTGCCGTCTTGACCCAAATAAATTTTTCCCCAACCTGGGCATTGCAGACCTCTAATGCACATAGTATCTAATTTTTAATTGACAGTCGGCTTTTTATTTCAAAAAATATTAAATTAGCGAATGACTTATCAATAAAAAAAATTTCATTTTCTGGCCGGGTCTCCTGAAACATTAACTTTTTGCTTAAAAGATAAGGTTTAAAAAAATTTATGATGCATGACATTTTTCAATTTAAATCTATACTTCTCTGATTGAAATATAAGTTTTTAATTTACATCGATTTAAATAAAAAAACCCAAAAGAATCGATCTTTTAAAAAATTTTTCAAAAAAACTCACAAATTTTGCCAACCCTAGTTTCAAGTATCGGTGGTATCAGTATCAGCAAAAGAATTGGTATCATTGCATCTCTGCATTTTACTTTATTTTCTTGTAATTTATTTTTAAAAACTTATTATAAATTTTATCATAATCATTTTATATTTAAACGAAATTTATTAACTGATAAATTTTATACCAAATAAAATATATTTTGGTAGTGTTGCTAAACGGCTCTCCACTATTTTTTGAAAACGGCCAACCCAATATTTTAGCCAAAAAATTATTACGTAAGGCTGGTATTCAATTTTGTTCCATTGTTGAAAATAGAACTATTTAATTAAAAAGTAAAAGAACTCTTCTGAAAAATGGATATGGATCAGTGGCGTATCCAGGATTTTCTTATGGGGGGGGGGGGGGGGAAGAACTTTTGGGGGGCTTCGCCCCAAACCTCCTTTACCTGGCCAGTTTTTCCGCGGCCTTCGGCCGGGTCCTATGTTTTAGCTAATCTATTAAATTATTCATAATTTAATAATAATTATATTTCTATTTTTAACTATTATTTACTAATTCGTGCTTATGAATATTACAAGCCTATTTTTTATTATTTTAAGTTAGGTATATTATATTCAATAAAGTTTTTTTAAATGTAAAGTTGAAATAAAGTTTAATGTCATTTTTTTTTATAAAATTTGCTTTAAAAACTAGCCTCAGCTTAAATTCTCATACAATATAAGTAGAATATAATTTTTTTATTGAAAATACTAATAGTAGTGTGTATAAATATTGACTAGAAAATAATTTAAAAAACAAGTTTTTTTTAACATCTTATCAAATACAATATTATACAAAAATTTTTATTAAATACCATAATTATAATGTGATTTTTAATTTTCGTGGGAATGTTGCCAATTCATCAAGAATTTCGTTTGTCGTTAGAACCAAATCTCTGTAGATATTTAACAGAGCTAACCCATTTAGCCGAGATTCGGAAGTAGTACTTCGTAAATATGTTTTCAACCTTCTCAAGTTGGAAAAAGTCCTTTCATTCGTACTTGTTGTAATAGGCAAACATGCAAGAATATAAAACAACTTCAAAATATTAGGAAATTGAGCCAAGGTTTCTTTACACCGATTGAGCGCATCAATAGCATGCTCAGGTAAAATAGCTAAACGTTGTAAATATTTAGACCACAATTCGAATTCACTGATTAAATTTATTTCAGTATCAATATCATAGGAATAAAATTTTGCTAAATAGAAAACGAAGAAGGATCTTTGGGTAATAAAACTTGAAGATTGTAAAAGACTTGTTTTTTATCTAAAAACCGTACTTTTATTTGCGATAAAAAAGTATCTAAGAATGGGATGAAAATGGATATTTTATAATATTCTTCAGTTGAGCCAATATTTATTTTACATCTCAATAATTGCCTAGGTGCTAGACGAGGTTTAATTAGTATTATATCATAAAATTTAGCCTTCGATTCAACGTCTAGATAAATATTATGAAAATATTCATCTACATTCAATCTTATTGTATCTACCTGTTCATATATATTTTCCACCAAATCAATAACCTGAACCAAATCTAAATTTGGTTTTTGTAAATTTCTACAAAGTAGTGAGCTATAGGAAAATAATTTATTGATGCTAGCAGCAATAATAAACTCTGATTGGCCTTATTTAACTTTTGTATTTCTATTTCTTCTGTTCTACAAAATGGAAGTAAAAATGACAAATATTTAAAAAATTATAGATATTTATTAATAATTAAAATACTTATTAATTCTAACTCACTAATAATTTTGAATTTAATAAAATAATTATATATAATAATAAAATAATAAAAATTACCGTTTGATTTCAAGCTCTTTGACTAAAAATTTTTCCATTTTATTAATATTTTTGAATAATGTTAATGTACTCACAAGGAAAGAAAATTTTAATAAAAAATTTATTTATAAAAAATAAATTTTATGTTGGAAAATTGATATTCAAATATTTGTAAAATTTTGATTGGGAGGGGGAGTGGGGGGGGGGGGGTAAAATTTTTATTAGCTTAATATGATATTTATGAAAACAGTCAAATTTGCGATGGGGGCCCCCATTGGTTACGCGCCTGATATGGATTATTATAATAATTATATGACGGTATACTAAATGGGTAATTAGTATTGGGAAGCAAAAGTACTTATTTATTATTTACGCATGCACTGAAGAACGCTTTTTACATTTTCCCTGGAGACCGTAATTTTTGAATTTTTTTTAATCAAAAGTTCACGTAAAATTCTGAAATTGATAAGCGAGGAATAGATATTAGCTTAAAGCCTATTTAAGACAAAATTAGATTTTAAAATTTTAAATTTTAATCAAAAAATGATTAAAGTTGAAAATAAATAACAAGCTGCAGAAGGAAATATATTGAGGCTAACATAGTTTACATTTAATTTCTTTATTTAGCGGCTTAGATATATTATCTTAAGTTCGTAATTCAAGAATGTGATAGTGGATAATATTACCTAAAAATTCATTATTCCTTCTTCCTTTCCCAGAAAAATAATAGTCAAGCATCCAATTCGAATTTATTGAGATCCAGTGTAAATCCCCCCCTCCCCATCCACATTATAAGATTTAGAGTAATAAAAGTTTTTCAATACAATTTTAAAAAAATAAACAAGTATGATGATTTATAAACAGCCATATTACCTGGGATCCGATACCAATAATTTGGTTATAAAGTTTTTGGCTCCCTGGCTCACCTTAGAAAAATATTCGTCATCGAATGAAAAATCGATTTTAACTATATTTTCGAAGGTCTCTTGGCGGTTAGATCCTAGGAATGGGGAAGCACCACTTAAACTTTATTTTTATTTTTGACAAAAAAAAATGAACAATTATAACTTGATAATTAATTGTTTGGTAAATTTTATTATACATAATTATATAAAATTTTAGGGATAAAAAATATATCATTTTAAACAAAAATAAAGGCATAAATAAAACTTACAGTATATATGTTATGACACCCAAGCTCCACATATCGGTGGCTAATGATATCGGATCAAAGTTTATAATTTCAGGAGCTGTAGAAATATAGGTTTTGGGAAGAAAGGTTATTAGCAAAGGTGTTTGTTATATTATTTTACAATTAATTTAAAAGTTCAAAATTTTTTTTAGTTTATTAACCTACGAATTCGGGTGTACCCATCATTTCCCTAGGCACGTTTGTCCCCTTGAGTTTCCTGGCCAATCCAAAATCTATTATTTTGATATCGTTCGTTGTTTTATCTTTGATCATAATATTTTCTGGCTATAAAAATTATAAGTGGCTATTATTATTTTAAAAACCTTATAGATTATAGATTTTAATGACATTAATCAAATGCAAAAGAAAAATTCAGATTATATTATAAATGAATAAAAAAATAAAAATTAAATATCGAATTTAAAAAAGAGAAACCATTTTTCAAATTAAATATGGAAGATGATTTAATAAAAGCTTTGGTGCATATTAACTTATGTGTTTAATTCTTATATATAGAGTCCTGAGCCCATCATCGGACTTGTTTTTCAGGCTGCGCCCCACCAAAAATTTTTTTTATTCGACCATTTTCAAGGGTCTAAGTCCGATCCGAAAAAAATTAAAAATTTATATTTTTCAAGGAAAGAAGGAAAATTATGAGCGCTGTAGGAAAATAAGAAATTTTGGTTATTCTAAGAAAAGAAGATTTATAAAAGCCTTCGGAAAATAAAATAATTTTTTTGTCGAGGTTTGGCTTTGGAATCCATCCCAAGTAAACCTTTTTCCAAGTCTGGCATCCTATTTTGTCGGATCGAGTTCGGTAGAGTCGTGAAATGTTCATGTAGAACTTCTAATAAATTTAACAATATTTACCAATTTTAAATACAATAGTGATCTGCATCGAGCCTAATTTTTCAAGCCTGGTCCGAAATTTTGTTTAACAAAGTTTTGCTGTGAACACGAATATTTTTTAAGAAAATTTACAAGCCTGGCCCGAACTTATTTAAATATAGAAATTAATTTTTATAATTACTCAAAATAAAAGGCATATGTTATATGGCTTCCATAAATAAAATAAAATATTTTTATTTTATAATATAAAATTGATAAATTTAAATATATTTGAAAAAATTTTCAAAGACCGACCCGACCCGGCCCAAATTTAATTTTAAAGTATTAGGCCCGACTCGATCCTAACCCGATTTTTTTAAAAAATTAGGCCCGAGCCCAGCCCGGCTGGCCGGGCCTAATATACAATGTTAAAAGCAAATATATTGCTAACTAACTTTAAGATCCAAATGGCCGATATGCTTTGAGTGTAGATGACCTAACCCCTGTAAAATTTGTTTAACGTATTGTGATGCCTCCCTATCGTGCAAAAATCGGTTCTCCAAAAGAATATCGAATAATTCTCCGCCTTTAACCCTATACATCGTTGGTTTTAAAATTTCAATAAAAATCGATTTAAATATATTTATACAAGAATTGAAACCTTTATACCTTTTTTTTAAAGCCATATCAAAATAAAATCGAAGTATTTATAATCAATTTTTAAAAAATTGTTTTCATTCATTCGATTGGCCATGTTTAGAAATTAGTGAATAAAACCTGACTTTCAAAAACTGATACCAACTATTGTTGGTGCGAGTATACAATGTGAAATCTAACCAAGGGCCTAGAGGACTAGCCAGAATCGAAGTATTAAATAGTAGTGTTGTTAAACGGCTCGTTTTGAGCCGATTTTTAAAAACGGCTAACTCAATATTTTAGCCAGAAAAATATTATGAAAGCCTAGATATTTTGCCCATAGATGGCACATAGTATTGAACATCTATTGGCGAAATCTCGACGCTTAGGCAATATTTTCCTGGCTATAATGTTGAGTTAGCCGTTTTTAAAAATCGGCTCAAATCGCGCCGTTTAACAACACTATTAAATAGCATATAACATCCTTACCTTATGCCTACAATTAATAATTAGAGCCTTATTAGAGATGTAGATTAAACTGGGATAGCTCCATCTGGTCGGTCTTTTTTAAATGTCCGTTCTAAGTCGATTCTTTAAAAAAATATTTTAATCCGCTAATATGACAATATCTCTACATAAATAAATGGATACATTTATAATGTGTGAATCGTGCAAATTTAAGCAAAAGGGAAAAAGTATTTTATATATTAATTTTTATATTTTTTTAATATTTCTAATTCATATTTATATTTAAATTACAATTCGAGGACCAAAATAACGTTGCTAGAATTATCGAAAACTTCCTTGAGAGTTATAACGTTGGGATGCGAATCTAACTCTTGGAGAATTCCCACCTCTCTCTTGATGTCCTCCATGGACAATCCTCTCCTACTGGCCTGAGCTCGCTTCTTTCTTATAAACTTGGCGGCGTATTCCTGACCATCAATTTTGCTTTTGCATCTTCTGACCACAGCAAAGTGCCCACTAATTAATTAAATTTACAGATGAATAAGAATAGATTTATAGATAATATATCAATTAAAGAGCCGGGCTGGCCCGTCCAAATGGCAACCCCGCATTTCAAATATTAAAACGGGCGGGGGGTATTAACTAGTCGGATAGGGTAATTAGTAAATAAAAAAACCGCACATTTCATACATAAAATTGCAAATCTCAGATATTGAATTTGATCAATATTTATTGAAATAACAATAGACTTACTTCTTTTTATTTTATTTTAAGAACTACCTAACTAAATAATCTTTAAAAAAAATATTAAAAAATTATATTCCATATTTTATAGAAAATTATAGACCCATCCAGAAATTTTGTAAAAATTTAATGGCGAGCGGGTTTTTAAATTTTGATATATTTTTCTTGAATTTCAAGTAATATTTTGATTAAATACTATTTGTTTGTATTGAACAAAATATTAAATCTATAAATAAAATAGTCAATTCACAAAAAAATTAAACAAGCAAGTTGTTTATACTATGATATAATTCCTATTACAAAAACACAATAGAGTAGTGGCGTAGACAAAGGGGTTGACCCCCCCCCCCATAACCTCCGAAATTTTTTTTTTATTGCGAATAATTTTATTTAAAAAACGGTAATAAAATAATATGTACGATATCAAAATAATATATATATTTAAAAAAAACCAAGCAATAATTTTCAATTTTAAATGAACATGGTTTAAATTAAAAATAATATGAACTAAATTATTAAATAATAAGTGGGGGGGGGGGGGGGGACTATAAAGATATATTATAAATAATAGTAGAGCCTAGAATGGAGAAAAAATATAATCTGCATATCTCGAATGATATTTTTTGAAAAACAAATTTAATAATAGTTTTAAAAATTTTAATTTATTTTTTATAATTTCGATTAATTTGGTAAAGATAAACAGCAATCTTTAATTTTCTTTTGCCGGTTGAGTCTGAATTGTTGATTACACTTGAAACGCGAGATGATATTAAGAAAATTCAAGATTTTACTCTATGGTGATTCCACGTCATATCGACCAAAATAACGAGATTTTCGGCCGAAAAATGAATGAAACTTGGCATGTTAGTTATTTATGTTGTAAATGTTAATAAAATAAAATAATAAAGTGCTAGCTCAACCAGATCCAAAGATATACGCCTTCAAAGTCGAAAATCGCGAAGTGCGTGATTTCATTAAATCTTGTTATTTTAAAAAATACTTATGATAGAGTTACAAATTACATATCATTTTATAGCCCTTAAAATTTTACGTTGGAAAATATTTTAAAAAAATTAATAGTGTTTTCTTATTTCCGGTAAAAATAAAAAATTAACATTGTTAGGAAGGGATTTTTTTTGGGTGTTAATATTCACTATTACTACCTTTATATTAAACGATTTAATAAAAATCTCGATAGCCCTTTTTTGTTTTTTTATTTTTATAAATAAAAAAATGTAATATAGATGGCGTTTTATTAAAAATTTTTATAATATATAATTTTTAATAAAGATATGAATAGTATTATGATTAAAATTAAAAAACCAATTAAGTATAACCAAGAATGATGTCCTGGTGCGATATGTAAGCAGGCAGCCCAAGATATTATTTTATTGACGCTATATTGTAAAATAAACATATTTTAAAATTTTATATTCAAACTATTATAATTTTGCACTTATTAATAAAAATTCCTAAGGCCATAATTTGTAGATATATCCTTTCATTGTTGTGGATCTACTATCGTTATTATTTGAAAATAATGATTTTATCAGCTTATTATAAATTTTTATTCCTATCATCTCTACCAATCAATCATCATATATTTCAAAACAAACATTTTTTACAACCAAATGAATTTATGATAATTTGTGATTTTCTGAAAATTATGCATTTATAATCCAAGACGCTGTTCAAGGATTCCACTGGAATAATAATCAAGCCACTATCCTCCTATGATAGCATATTATAATAATAAGGGCAATATAGAAATCCTTAATTATATGGTAATATCAGAGTCACTTCAACATAATGTTATTGCAGTACATTTATACCAGACTAAAATGATAAAATTTTTGACCAATAAATTAAAAACAAAGTATATTACTGCTCTGACGGATCAGCCTCGCAATATAAAAACAGAAAATTTTTTATAACTGAGTTATCATAAATCAGATTTTGGTGTAGCAGCTGAATGGCATTTTTCAGCTACATCCCATGGAAATAGTCCATGTGATGGCCTTGGCGGAACATTAAAAAGATTAGCAGCACGTTCAAGCCTTCAGCGCATTTCTGGACACATTTTAACACCAGCTGATTTATATCAATTTGCAAAACAAAACATGCCATCAGTAAATTTTACATATATAACCAACGAACAATACAATTTACAAGAGATTAAACTACGAGAAAGATTAATTTAGCTCGTCCCATTCCAGGAACTCGGGAAATACATACTGTATTTCCTACTTAAACAAAAATATATTCATATGCAGAGGACTTTCAAATTAACAATATCTCAAATGCCGATAATTTGTCTTTTGCCGATATTAAAGGATTCGTAATATGTATTTATGACGATTTTTGGTGGTTAGCGACAATACTAAAAAAGAATGAAATTAATAAGGAGATATATATTTCCTTTTTACATCTCCATGGACCATCACCATCCTTCTTTTACCCCACAATTGCGGAAAAGATATGGTTACCCATTAATCAAATAATAACAGTAGTAGATCCTATTACAGTGACAAGACGTACCTACAAATTATCGTCTCAAGAAATTCTACTAATAAGCACAAAATGGGATAAGATTAAAACAAGAGGTATTTATTTTTATATTGTTTGTGTATAAAGTTTTAAAATATGTTTATTTTAAAATATAGCGTCCTAATATCATATCTGTATAGGCTCCCTGCTTACATATCGCCCCAGGACATCCTTCTTGGTTATACTCAATTGATTTTTTAATTTTAATCACAATACTATTCATATTTTTATTAAAAATTATATATTATAAAAAAATCCTATATAAAGCCATCTATATTGTTTTTTTATAAAAATAATAAAAATTTAAATAAAATTGAAAAAACAAAAATGGCTATCGAGATTTTTCATTAAATCGTTTAATATAAAGTAAAGGTAATAAACATTTTTTAGTGAATACAACACCCAAAAAAAATCCCTTCCTAACAATGTTAATTTTTTATTTTTACCAGAAATAAGAAAACACTTGAAATTTTTTAATTTTTTTTTATATTTTCCAACGTTTTTAGGGGCTATAAAATGATATATAATTTGTAACTCTTAAGTATTTTTTAAAATAACAAGATTTAATGAAATCACGCAATTCGCGATTTTCGACTTTGAAGGCGTATAGCTTTGGATCTGGTTGAGCTAGCACTCTAAAATTTTGATTTTATTAACATTTACAACATAAATAACTAACATGCCAAGTTTCATTAATTTTTGAGATGGTCGGCCGAATCGCTGGTCGATTTGTCATGGATCATTAGATAATGATTTATCCGGATAGTATGATAAGTTACTTTGTGATGTCGATTTTTGGTATAAAAATCTTGACAGAATAGAGGACTCTTTATGACCAAAAAATGTATCAGGCCTTTTCCTGTAATTGCACTTTAGATCCCTGACTAATATCAAAACTTTGTTTTTTTATTTTAGCTACCTTACCGATTAGTACTTTCACTAATAAAAGGTCTTTTTCAACTTTGAAAAGGTTAAAAACTATTTAAGAAATAGCACTGGTGAAAACCGTTAAATGGATTAGCCAATTAAATATGTATAAGGAGATTATTCTAGATTAAATTTGATTTTAGATAATTAGCCAAATTTCAGAGAACGTAGATCTCTCTTTATATTCAAATCAAAAAATTGCAATATGATTATAATATGTTCCTAATCATAAAATTTTTGTATGCAAAACTTAATTATAATAAATTCTTAGTAATAATACTTATATATTTTCTATATTATACTATTTTTAATAAAAGTATTGCATTTAATAAGAATTATTTATATTATGATAATATAATCATTAGTATTAATTATAATTGTTAAATTATATTTTTTAAATAACTTATATTTTTTTAACAGAGTTATTTCATTAAATTTTTAATATATAATAATCTGTATAAAATTTATACATTTTGAAATTTATTTTATTGTATATTAGCATTAAAATAAATACATAGTTAATAAAGGGATGTTATTTATACTAAAGTATTTTAATAATAAATAAAATTTATAATGAAATTCTCTGTAAAATTTTGTTATATGCAAAAATTAAATTAAAATAATTATTTTTCATAGAATAAGATATATTGAGTGATTATACCTAAAACGAATTATTTGTTATTCGATATTCGACTCGATTCGATTCGTATTTTACAAATACGAATCAATTATTCGATTCGAAAGTACGAATTCGAATAAGGAAACTATATTATTCGTTGAATAATTTTTTTTCTATTATTCGATCGAATTATTCGAGATTATTCGACTAAAATAATTTATAGTATATTAATAAATGTTGAAAAATAATTATATATATATATTAGATAATTAGGAATTACTTGAAATTATTCTTATTTAATAAAATTTCCTAGTGGAATATTGAAGAAGCATTTTATATTTTAAAAATTTTAAATAACTTCATAATCCAAAACAACTTCAGAAAATTCTTTTATGGATGAAGGTATTTATTTTATGGAATTAATAACACATACACAATTATAATAAACTAGTAGCTATCCCGTCAAGAATGACGGGCGATGCAGATATTTCTCCTTCGTTTGATGATGGAGAAATCATAAATTTTACTTTTTGCCTAAATTTTTACCACTTTATTTGTAAAATATTGCTAGATATGAGTTTTGTATTTTTAGATTGCATAGCTTTTTGACAATCTATTATTCCCTACAATTATTTGCACTCAAATATAAGCTACTAATAATTTATTAACATTTTTAAAA